TCGTTTTGGCTACAATAGTTTAATAATTTGTTATTACCATTATTCATTATCATTAATGAAATAATAGTCAGTCAGAGGGCTTATTAATATGTAATAATATGTATACTGAGCCTGAAGGTGGCGCTTTAATACGACGGCCATCTTGGATGGTACACATACATAACTCTGCATTGCTGCGCCATCTTGTCAGCACTCTAGTTGTTTAATAGCTCTATGGTTAAAACATACGCGAACACGTGCGTTTGTGGGACAACACGTGTGTTTGTGAGACGCGCGCGTATTCCTAGCGTTGTTCTGATTAGTCAGTTGATAAGTTTGATTGACACTCCGGAAAGGTCTATTGTATAATACAGTTAGCGGCCTCCTGTATAGTTTAATTCCATTTAATCTTTTTAGCAGTCAAATTTCATGTAACTCTATTTATAGAATTTTTTTAATGATTTCACTACTTTATATCCAATTTCATATTATAAATACTGTAATAATTTACTATTTTTGAGCAGTTCTTTAATCCTCGCCGATAGACCGAGAGAGCCCTTCGATGGCAAGCATTCTTCAATTAGGCAATCCTGCCATATAGACCCTTAAGTAGCTCCTGTTATTTTTGCAAATAAATTTAAATTAGAATATGAGCGAGCCCTATACAAATCTAATGTTATTAATTTGATTATTATTATTTATAAATATTAAAATAGGATAGGTCAGTTGGCCGCAATATACAAATTGTGCTTTGCTGTAAATGTTATAAATTGTGAGTAATAAATGAAATACAGGATCTGTGATATATTCAACTTGTGTAATTTTGTAACGTATATTATTGTATTAAAAGTCTCTGTTTTAAAAATGTATTATGGCTGTACAGTATGTTACTTTTATGAACACACTGCAAGAGCGTGTCTGCTGTTTTAAAAGCGTCGTTTCCAAAATAAAGTTATAGTAATTATAAAATTGCCATGTCATTTTAGGAGTGACATTCACACTATTTGTACTTGAGTACTGGTACGCATCCTAATGGTTAAATTGCCTATTTAACTCTCCGTTAGATTTATCTATAATATATAATATATATATTTTCATTTAATTTTTAGTTGTAACGTAATAGCTTGCCTATAGGGGCCTAATATACAAATATTGATTTGGCCTATAATATATAATTACCATATAGGCCTAGGCCAGGAGATAGGTCTCGCAATTTAAATATTATATATATATATATATATATAATATATATATATATATATATATATATATATATGCCTATATATATATTACTATTATAAACAATTAAAACAAAAGAAAAGATTACAATTAATTAAAATGCGTCGGGTCTTCGGTCTTCGTTAATTAAAATGTGACGAATTAACGATAAATGAAAAAAATTCCAATTCATTCCAATAATTTACGAGAGCACGGAATTTACCCTAGCACGCACGCGCGCAAATATTCGATTATATATGAATTCTAATACGCTGTCCATACTAAGTCGCAAAAAAAGCTATCTTATGTTTATAAGATCTTTGGTATTCATCCGGCAACTCAACTCACTTTGTTTAATTTTAGCAACCGTAAGTTATTTTAATACTGTGATACCTACAATTTGAATAGGCCTGTTTTTTTGGGTTTTTTTTTTTTTTTTTTTTTTTTTAAATTTTTTATTATCCCTACCCTACTTTGTTGGCAATCAACAGAGGCATAATATAGAGGAAATAAAACTAATTCCTCCATGATAGAATACTGTACAGTTACTGTATAGAATCTTTCCGAAGGGTCTATTAAACAAACCAATCCGAATGCAGCAAGGAATACACACATGTCCAACAAACACATGTTTACGTACGTTTGTTGCTATAAGCATTAAAAATCCATATCAATTTCGTGTATATCAATAAAATTCTTAAAATAAATTGTCATTACTAGGGAAAATAATTCGACCGTTGTTGCTAGTGGACCATGCAATGAAAACTGTTCGTGTCCAAGTAATGTTTACCAACCGATTTGTGGATCCGATGGTTTAACTACGTATTTGTCGCCTTGTCACGCAGGTTGTATTATGGCGGTTGCTGAATCGAACATAACCAACGATAGGAATGTATCTGTGAGATTTTTTTTATAAGCATTTACAGTATATCTTTTATTAAAGGTATGATAACAATATCATACTGTCAAAACATGACTGTTGTATGTATGCAATGGTCCATCTTGCAAACTAAAACACAAAGAGTGCTTGCTTAGTAAGCCTGACATGATACTGTAAAACCTCGAATTGAAGCCCTGGGCTTTTTTGTTTTTGTTTTGCGAACTTTAGATGGGATTCTTTTCAAGCTGGGCTTCATTTCAAGATGGCCTTCTTTTCGAGGCTACTTTCGCAAAGTAAAGAGGGGGCTTTTTTTTAAATGAATACTGTAAATTTTGCGAATTTGTTCTATAAAACAATAATACGGCCATTGTAACATCACTCCGTATCTTGGAGTGTATTTAACTGCCATTAAATCACCTAAACTACTGTATAAACCAAGCTTGTTTTTGATTAAATTTTTTTTGTTTGAAATTCATGTACCGTACAGTGTATACTGTACTATCTCGAAAAAAAGTCTATGCTATCTTGTAAAGAAGCCCATGGGCTTTTCAAGATGGGCTTCTTTCCGAGGCTAACTTTGCAACTAAAGTGGGGACTTCAATTCGAGATGGGCTTCATCTCGAGATTAAGCCCACTCGGCTTCATTTCGAAGTTTTACGGTAGGCCATAAGCAAACCTATCCTACTATAATATTCCAAATGCTTTTTCCAGGTAATAGGAGAGTGGAGAATGTCTCATCTAACTTTTTTCTGGATTACAAATGTATATTTACTGTTATTGAACCTATTTTTAAAATTGAAATAAAAAAAATTTACCTATATTTTAAAAACAGGACTCATTTAATTTAAAATTTAAGCACCAAACATTTATGAAAAAGACCTATTTTACGTGTAATGATCAAGACATTTTAAAATACGTTTATATTACACACTCAAAAAGGCCTAGCTATTGTAAAAAGTTTCAAAAGATTTTACATGTAAGAACTAAATAATGTTGACTCATTTTTAGAAAATTTGGACCTACTTTTTATTTTATTTTTAATTTATTTTGGGCCAAAGGTCTTCAAATAACAAAAAAATATATAATAACTAGTTTTGCTCTAATAATTCAATTTGACTGCAAGGTAGTAAACCTAGTTTTCCTAATTATATCATTGAGAAAATAGAACTGTTCTATTTTCTCTATGATTATATATAGCCAGAAGTTATAGGGCTACCTTCTTTTTTTTTTTATCATGGTGCAGATTAACGTTGAAATAGATAATTTAGAATTTTAAAAGGTTAAAAACCTCCTTAATTGTCTTTTATCATTATAATAATTTGATCATTCCTGTCGGGCAGAATGAGACTGACAAATTAATCAAATATTTAAATAATACTGAAACATTTTTAATTGTATTCATACGTTAATTTAGGCTTTTGACGATTGCAGCTGCTTTTCAAGTGCAGATATGACTTCTGAAAAAATGCCTATAAATGAAGCCTGTCCCAGGAACTGCAGTCATGGTTTGATGATATACATGGTTGTTACAATAGTTTGGAGCTTATTGAGTTCTATTTTATACAATCCAATGTTCTTGCTTATCATGAGGTAAATCTACCTAGTAATTCTCTATTTATGTAAGACGTTCTTTATAAAAAGAATTTACTAAATATTTACATAATCGTCAAATAAACTTCTTGTCGTCTGGCCTTTGGGACAACAACTATATTAAAGGAAATACAGTAACATAGTGACAATGAATCCGAATTTGCTAAATGTAGTTCTCAAACATGTACATGGCCGAATAATAGATTATTTATATTAGAAGTAAAAATTAAAACAAGAACATTGTTATCGTTTAATGTCCGTAAAATTTGTTTCTTCTATATTCTAGAACTGTTGATAAGAACGACAGACCACTGGCATTAGGATGTTTTGGGCTGATTATGCGTGTCCTTGGTTGGTTTCTTATCTTTTGTAATATTTCTCCTATTAAGTTTACCATAATTATTGTATCATATTGAAGAATCGTTTACCTCATTTTGGTAAAATAAGAACTGTACGTTTTACCATTACTTAACAAAATTAAGGTAGTTATTATATAGTCGGTAGAACTCCTTCTCTTACGTTACTCTTCCCTTTCAAGGTCTATAGTTTGTGTGATTATAATTGAGAGAGCACTCACAATTCGAGGTATATACCCGGCTTTAAGCAATCACACGATTACAAGGATAATAGCAAGAGAAAATCGATAATGTTTATTTACACAAATTAAAAAAAAAACACACACGCTAGGCATAACTGAATGAATATTTTCAGGTATGATACCTGCTCCCATTTACTTTGGAGCTGTAATCCAATCAACTTGCCTTTTACGATCCAGTGTATGCGGTCAAGAGGGGGCGTGCTTGGTGTATGATACAGATGCATATCGCCTGCGGTATATTGGCCTACAAATCGGTCTAGATGTCATATCATTGTCTTTCTTCATTATTACAATGTTCTTAATAAATCGGGTTAGTATCACTATCTTTAATACCATATGTATCATTTACCTACAGTACCGTATACTGACACAAAATCTCCATCAACACTATCGTCGTCATTAGTTATCATTATCATGAGCTCCTCTTCATATATTATTATCTCAAAAGTAATTACCATTTTAGATTATCATCATCATCATCCTCATCATCATCATCAGCAGCAGCAGCAGCACTGATAAAATAAAAATGATGGTGACGGTGAATGCTGTTGCCATTGATGTTGATGGTCATATGGTGAAGTTGATGGCGATGATGATGATGACAATAATAATATAGTTTATTCTGGGCACTCCCTCAAATTGTGGCATTGAGACTTCTTATGCGCCTAAGTCGAAGTTTGGATTGGATTGAATTGGATGTATCACTTTTCTTGTTCATTTTAAGCAACTCTCAGAGCCTCTCCCAGTCGCCCTCCATGAGGCCGTGCAAAATAATTCTCTAATATATCTACAATTACAGATAAAGAATGACTTTCCTTTTTACAATGGTTTTGACATTTAAACGAAATGATGAAAGTCTAAAACACATAACCGATAAGCCATGCAACTCCACGTGTACGAAGGCTAACTGTGGCACATGCGAATCTTATTAGAATTAACTGAAGGTCTGTATTATTTTTAATAATTATCTGTTTCTGCGTTATATTTTCAGAAAATATCCGCAACCCATTCTCCATTGGATACACGCAATCCGGATGACATGGATGACGTCACCACTGGTATTTGATTTATCAATGGAGGGTTACAATAACAAATTGGAAATCCATATTTATCATTTTATATCGTATTATTGTTATTATGTATTGTTTTTATTGTTGGCCTTTTTACCTTTTTCTGTGTTTTGAATTTACAATATTTTAAATGTTTTAAATATATGTATGTATGCTTTTATCGAAGGCGCTAAATGATCAGTTCATTTTGTAACTGGATAGGTCACTCTCTTTAAAAATGGTAATAAATAAAATAAATAAATATAGTTGTTAACAAGTTAAAAATGATGTTCTATTTTGGGTAGTCAACCTATGTTACGTTGATACTGGTTCTCTCATTTAAGATAGCCCTACATAGTGTATGCAGTATAAGAAATGCATTATAGCAAAGAGTATAGAATTACAAGAGGTATTTGGTATGCACACAATGAAACGTGAAAAAAGTGCTACGCAAGGTAAGTTAGGGGCGCTCTATTAGCATTCGAATCATTGGAATAGAGTTAATTCGAAAATCATCTTTTGAAAGACAGGCCCCTTCGTGGTAGTAGGCCCTGCGTTTTGAAATGGATTACGATCCAACAAAACCACGAGAATCGGACCTCTTACAGTTCTATACTCTTATGTTAGGCTTGTAGTTGTAGACCTATTTTACCGATAGTTAATCCAATAAAAGATTCCTTCAACATTTCTGTTTTCTGAGTTTCATTTTTTCAATTTCTGAATTTTTCAGTTATATGAAAATGTGTTTCTATGATTGATTGAGAATCAATTCATCACATAATTAGGCTCATAGTTTGTTTTATTGCTTTTATAGTAACAAAATGTTTTATGCGCTCTATAAATAAAGCAGGTATATATAAAAATCGACATACAGGGATATGAATTGTTATGACCATAATGTAAACGATTAAAATTAATATTTATTTTAATATTATTTTTAATAAGGTTCAAAACAATTTATGGTTTTGTACAAAAATTCTAATAATAAATTCATTGACATTTTTGTCAATAATATATTCATTGACTTTATTGTCAATTTATCATTTTAATAAACAGGTTTGTGATGTTATTCAGTGTTACGTTTCTTTATTGTTTTGTTACTGATTTTGTTATTCATCATATCGTAATTATTTTGATTTGGATTAAGAGAAATGTTTATATTCCTAATCTGTAATCAAATAATTATGTAAATATAACAGAACGAACGTTGTTGTCACACAACCAACTTAGAAGTCAAAAAAAAAGAAGAACGAGAGCGTAAATGTACGTACTTGTGGGACAAGCGCGTGCTCCTGTAACTGTTCTGATTGGTGAGTTTTTAAGTTTGAGTGACTCTTGAAAAGTTCATTGTTCGAAAAGTGAGTTTTGTTGCAAATCGACGTTGTTACAAACTATTTGAATATGAACAGGCATACTGTACATGTATATTATATTTTTTCACAATAGAACAACATAGCATACAAATAGATGTGACATGAATAGAAAAATGTTTGTTTAATGTTTAAAATTCTGTAATTAAACATTACATTCTCCAATGGATACATTTTTCATAGTCAATAATACATATGGCTTGTTGAGTATTTAGACTATCAAAGATGGTTCTAAGATTGAATATTCCTTCTCTAGTACCCATATTCTGTCTGAATCCTGACTGAGTGGCTTCTATTTCTCTTTCAATACCGGTACATATAGCATTGCTCTTCATCAATATGCCGAGCAAAATCTTGCTGGTTTGACTCATCAAACTTATAGTGCGATGGTCTGCACATTCTTTAGCTTTCGTTTTTTTTTTGGTTTTTTTTTTGGCAGCTATATGACCACACAATAACATTTTGACTGTAATCACGTGTTGTAGTTCCACATTTACAGTGAAATTAAGAGGCGTTTACTTTAGTATATACCGTACGTATCCATATTACAATAAAACAAAATAATAAACGTCCCCTCAAAAACCATGTTCTACATAAACACCCGGGGCGTTTATTCGAATAAATACCGTAATAGTAAGATATGCAATTTATATTTATTATTATGTATTTATTATTTATATTCGTCGAAAAGCCGGTGATAAGTAAATACAGTACTGTAAATAGGTTAATAAGTGAAAATTGGAATAACTTGTATAACTGAAAAAAAAATCTTATAATATTGGCAACTTTTAATTACAAGTAATATTAAATATTTGTATACTTTTACCAAATTTCTTATAAACAGAAAAATGAATAATTTGGGGAATCTGCTGTTAAAAACAATATATTTCAGTCAATAACATTGTGAAATTGTTAAAGTGTTATGGAGGGCCAATACAAATATTCATAATGCTTTCTCAAAATTAGCAATCAAAACAGTTTTGATAATTTTAAACAAGGCTCCTTAAGACCACTTGGCCATGTATCTTCGAACTAACGGCATAATTATTATTAACTTACACCTGCCGACCAATTGAAATCTTGCAAAAATTATCACTAAACAAAAAGGTGGTCTCAGATTACTAAACTAACAATCCAACTTCGACTTTGGCGTTCACTACCTCGTACCGAAATAACAGGGAACAGGTAACTTACAAGGTGGCTGATTCAAAGGGGGGCAGCCGTTACGGGGGCCCCTACATTTGTCAAAATTGTAAAAAGAAATTTACATTCAAATTTTAAGTCTGAAAGTGCAATTTCCGGCCGTCGACAGGTGACATAAACCATGGTGAGACTGATGTCATAGACCCTCCATCTGCTAAAGTCCTTCCCTCGGCCCCCTCTATTTAAAATTCTAGGATCCGCCACAGTTAGGTAAATTCTCAACCTGCTTCCAGTTCCCAAAAAGGGACCCATATTAGGATCTTTATTTAAATGTTTCAGTTGGTATATTCTCTGTAAGAAGAGATAAGCGTAAACAGAGGCCTATGTTTTAAATTTGCTAAACATGCTTGTAATGTCGGATTCCAAATAATATCCAACTGACGTTTTCGCGCCTTCTGCAGATTTAACAATTAAAATTCGGCCGAGATCTTGCTCGTTAATTACTACTAGGATATTTTATTAGAAAATAAAGGATAAATAACATATTAACATAACCTCGTAAACCTTTTATTAAACTCTTCCAGGGAGCGCCAGCGGGTGGGGGGGGGGGGGGGGAGAGAAAAAATAATTTTATTTATTTTCTACGTAATTATTAGTAGACTCTAAAATAGATTAAATAAGCCTTTGAAACCCCTAAATTATTAAGATTTTCGGGGCTTCGCCCCCTGGACCACTTTTAAAGCATTTTAAGCGACGCTCACTTTGCTCTTGTCGGGGAAATCTTACCACTCGTTGAAATAAGACCCAGCATTATCATATTTATTAGTCCAAATTTAAGATTTTTAGGAGCGTTCGAACACTGGCGCTGGATCAAGACACTCTTCATCATGGTTCGTTTGTTAAAACAAACTCTTCTCGGATAAGCATAAATACCCGATAACTTTCAAATTATTTCTGTTTTTGTCAGACGGCAAAATTCATCTAGGCTACCAAATGAACAAATTTAAACACTCAAAATTCTATTTAGTACGTTTTATCTATTGTAGGTTTCTAATTTTAGAAATTTTTAGCTTCGGACAGAAGAACATTAACTTCAGTAACTGGGGTCATTGTGTATGTCTTCGTACGGTGTTGCTGGATTTTAATAGTAGAACGTAATAAGTTTAGTAGGCGTCACATATCACCCAGTGGTGCCACCGCCAGTGGGACTGGGGCGGGGTCAAAAGCAGAAATTCTCACTCCCCGTCAGACCAAAAATGTTAATTTGCTTATCCAAATAACGTTTCTTTTTTTTAAATTGCGCATCACTAATATTGTTGTCTATATGAAAAAATTTCAACCATGGTAAGCCATAAAAACTCTTCCATGAACCCTACCAAGGACTTCATATTCTGGAATCCTGACCGAGTCTCTATTTGAGGGTCCGAATCAAGGGGCCAATTGGCCCCTTGATTCGGACCCTCTGTCAGCACATTTCTGGCGTCAACATTGGGCCACCTTTAGTAATCTTTTTAGATGTTCTCAAACGATTTCCTGACACTTAAAATACGATTTAACACTTTAAGCGATCTCAATTGATTTACTTAACCCAGGGAGTCGTTATAATGTCACTATAACAACTCCCTGCTTAACCATAACAGCTTAATGTACTTAGAAGAGAAGAAATAGGCCATTATGAACCATGGCTATTTTTATGTTAGAAGCGACATTTTGAATTTGATATTTACATTTTAATTAATGTCGCTACGTAAGATTTTTCGAATGACATCAAGAGATAACATAACTCAGAGAATGTAGAGATTGCTACTAAAATCACCACTGTGGATCACTAGTTACTGAGTTTAGGCTATGATGCAAACTATTTATAGCAGTCATCCTCAATAATAAGACGAAATGTGTAACTATTTCTACGGTCTTGGTGTTATTTTGACGGGTATCTTCGAATAACCACTTTCTGGTTGTCCAACTTCTGACAACATATGATTGTTTCTCTTTTTATAGACCTTTATGCTACAGAAAGAAAGGTTTACTTGCTATTTATTGGGTTCATAACCCAACTCTTGTACTCTCCCCATGATATTTGGGACCCATCTTCCATATTTCAATCCTTGTTCAAATGTATACCTTCCACTTGCCCTATTCAGTAAAGTACAACTGTAGATCCACATACGGTACTATCATTAGTATATATTTCATGTAGAGTAAAAACAGAACAACCTTCTCAAATTCAACAAAAAGAAACGAAACGAAGAATTAAAAATATGAAGAATTCGAATTTATTCAAATATATAATAGAGAAAAATAGCATACAACTGTAGACCGTGTAAAATACGTTTTAAAAATAGTTTAAATTATCCATAGAAATCTATAAATTAGGATATGAATAAAGAGTTTAAAACAAAACAAGCTTTAAAAAGGTCAAAGCACCATATTGGAAATAGCAAATTGAATTCGGTAAACTCAGCACAAATATGGAAACAATGGAAAAGATATGTATTGAAAAAATATTACTGGAATTAATGAATAAAAAATCATAAATTAATGGTTAAAATATTTAAACAAAAATATACTTCATTTCAGAAATTTTAAAATTGAAATAAATGTACCCAACTAAATGTCAGTAAAATTTACCTATTTCAACAATCTTATTCTTGTAAATATCCACTATAAAAACAAGCCACCAATACTAAACAAATATCTCAGCAAAATTAATATACATACAGTATGCAAATAAAGTAAACTATTATTTAAATAAAAAGTACCCTAAAAGTACTATATTACACAACAATATATTTTGTGGCATAATAATTTATTATGGGTACAGAACCTTAGAATGGACGGATGCATCATTTTTCAGAAAGACAGACTTTATCGTTCATTTCGTTGAGTACGAATTTTCGTTGAGTATTAATTTCATTCGACTGGTTTGTTAAATAGACTTCGCGGACAACGAAAATTAATGTAAACCAGAGTGCGTTAATCAGCGTTAAGTTATCCATGTGACCAAAAAATCATGGCCATTTGGTGAGTTTATAAACAACATTGCGTTAATATAATTTAGATTAAATTTCGTAAAATTAAAATTATAATATTTACCCACATGAGTCAAAAATAGTTGTAGGCTAACAGAATTCAAAAACTGGATGAAAAACCCATACTACCACAAGTTGAAGCAATCTTGATTACGCAACGTGTATCGCGGTAACTATACAGCTATTTTGTTTTGTCGAGTATTTAAAAGTTTTCTATTCGACTGGTCGTCTTCGTTGAGTAGGATTTTACCGCTGCACAGGTGGGCATGCTTTAACGAAGAATGACCAGTCGAACACAGCCGTTTATAGCCGACAAATAATCTTGAGCACGCATTAATCATTCAAAATGATATACTGTACTACAATTTATGTTCAGAACCCTTTACAATCTGTTGGATGTTACGGTTAGATGTTATAAGTATGATTATGAAATCATGGGATAAAGTTATTTGCAGTAGAACCGTTTGTTGCTTTTGTATTACACAAATATAATCTTCTGTAAATTAATAGCCTACACCACTTTAATGACACACAAATATACTGTAAAGAAAATCTGTGCGATTACTGACTACTATATCTAACCTTACCTAAATTTAACCCTGTTGAAATGTTTTAACACTGTAAAAATGCAAACACCAACAACTAACTAAATTAACCAGTTCACAAATATTATTAGCAATTCCAAAAAAAATGAACTTTAGACCTAGTTAAATTCAGGTCAGATCTATAATTTTTTTCTATTCATATTGCCATTTCTGGATACCGGTACGTCATTGTAATTGTTACTGATAGCTATTTTGAACAATATAAATTATCAAAATATTAATAGTACTAATAATATTGATAATAAATATTAAGATGTCAATGTAAATATCTAAGCAATACTATGTGTGTATGAATAAATGAATAATGGACGGGACAGAAATAACTGATAGAACAACGCTATCTGCATAGAGTATAGCATATTACAAATATGCAGGAAGAATGAAAACAGTACAAAACTAACACCAATACTTTGCAGAGGATAATAATCATAACTGAAATAAAAAGATTCAATAAATAGTACATATTCAATTGTACTTTTACATTAAATATTACAATAATCTCCAATTTCTAAATTTCCCTAAATATGATTTTAATTGAACTCTTGATTAAATCTAATACCAAAGCATAAACAATTGTATAATATATTAAAATTAATAATGAAGTTAAAGCATATAGCATAATTGCTTGTGAGATACATAAGTTAGTATAAAAGTATGATAGATATTTAAATAGAAACATAATATAAAATGTCATATAATATAGTGAACACTAAGCTTTGGGTTACAGCAAAATCTAATAGATGAAATCAATGCATTCGCTGTATTCACATTAAATACTGTATAACGAAAATGTATACCCTTCATACAACACTGTATTTTAGCGAAAAATAATATAAACATTACAAAAAAAAAAATAAATAAATAAATAAATAAAAATAGGAATGTTAACTTTCAAGGTAATATTAAGTATATGGGGGAAAATTAAATACAGTAAAACTAATTTACTGATACTTTTCAATTCAATAGTAAACAGATTATATATGTTCAGAATAGTAGGCCAACACTACTGTATTATAAAATACCAAAAAGAAAAGTACTGAAATACTTTGAAGACTTTCATCACTCATAGATCTTAATTTGGTGATTATCAGTTTCACCAACAATTCTTCTCATTTTATGGTGAGACTTCCCTGTCACACATCACGTTAAAGGTTGTGTTGTATTATACTGCCTGTGACTGAAATTTACAACTAAACACCAACATATTAATTGCAGTCTGGAAACATCATGATGTGAATATGAGTACTGTGCTTATTTAACATTATCAAATACCCTTGCTTCCGATTATGCCACTTATATTTGATTATTTTTAAACCTTCAAAATCGATGCGGTCTACATACATTGAATAACCATGCCTCTATTTCATCAACAACTCCATTTCTCTTCCTAGCCGTTTTAGTTTATCATACTTTTCATTGTGTGATATATTTGTGGTTCTCAAAAACTTTAGCAACATCCCTGTTGATATGGTTCTTAAGCTACAGTATAACATTAACCGCTGCCCTTATTGAAACCAAATTATAATTATATCGCATAGATGTAGCTACCTATTACAAAGGTTTCATTCATGATATATAACTGAAGGAATGTTAATGTTTGAGATTTTAAATAATCTACTTTCTATTTTCAAAATATTGTCAAGCATAATCCCAAAGCATGTTGTAAGCTCTTGAATTTAAATTCAACACAATATAGTAGCTCTGGAAACATTACGTGCTGGTGATGAACTTCTTAATTAAAAAGTGTATATAATTAATATTCAATATTAGTTAATGATCATTACTGTATTAAAGTTGCAACCTTTGGCATATCAGAAAAGCTATTCTACGGTAGTATAATACATTGCACTATCATAAATTGTGGACACTTGGTTTGAAATAATTTGGCCAATGTAGTACAGGTACTGTACAGTACTGTTTTATAGTGATTATTAATTCATTATTTAAAGACTTGTTATAATACTATGTGGTTCATCATTTCCAAATTGTACACAAACAAGAAAAAAAATCGGCCTACTTTGCATGAAAGCACTCCTCCACCACTGTCAATCTCTTGAGAGCTTGAAACTTGTCTTCCTGCGAAGCAATCATCTTCTCAAAATCCTCTTGTTTCTTCAGAAACTCTTCAATATCAGCTGAATCTTGTAAAAATGAATTATCATCCAGCTGTGAGTATTGTGATGACAACCATTTTTCTGCAATTGCAAGATCTTTTTGAAACAGCTGTAAATCAAGTTGCATGTCAAACAGTTCTTTTTTCTTCTCCCATGTAGAATTAAGACAGTACCAAGATTCTTCTAGCTCATCAACTTTATTTCTTATGTCCTCTACCAAGACATTGTTTTTTTCTATGTTTCTTCCTAATTGGCATAACTCTTCAAAGTGATCTGCTCTTGACTCTATCTCTGCTTGATGTTCCATATGGTGAGATATCTGAGTTTCAGCACTTGATACATCATGGGGTTCACTGTGACTTTTTATAGTTTTCATCGTTTCAGATATCCATGTCATCAGTTCATTACAATCTGTAAGGTAAACCTGCTGCTGTTCCATTTGTTGCAACATCATGTTTCGCCTAGAGACTTTGTTTAAAAGTTGATTCCAGGCTTCAACAACATCATCATTCCTTTTACTGATATCTTCAAATGCTCCAGGGAAGCCCTGTACAAGTTCACTGGCATGACTAACAAGATTTTCTACATGTTCTTCAAGAGCAGAGAGCTCTCTCTCAAAACCATTATGTCTTTTGATTAGTACCTGAACCGAAGAAAGGTCATGGCCAATATCTTTTGTTGATACAACAGTGTCTTTTTCCTGAATCCAACTACGAATTTCATCAGCATCATGATTGAATTTGTGTAAGATTTTAGACTTTTGTATCTGTTGATTCCTCATACTACAATGTTCTTGAACACACCTCCATGATTCTGAAATGCTTTCCCACTTACTTCGTACAACAGCTTCATTACCAACTTTCTCTTTTACCAATTTTTCAGCCATAACTTGAATAGTTTTGATTCTTTCTTCATTGCCATTTAATTCCTCAATGAATGCCAAAAATCTCTTTTCAAGTTCTTCAACATGTTCTAAATCAGACCCAAGGTCTTCAGATGAAGCAAATGCATTCTTTTCAGCTAACCAATCCTGAATTTCATCTACCTCATAATAAAATTCATAGACTGATTCTTGCTCTTTCAATTGTTGTCTCCTATGTATAGAACGGTCTTTCATTTGCTTAAATTGAATCTCAAGGTTAGTTTGATTTCTTTCAATTTCTTTGCCATTAAAATGTCCGCTGCTCAATAAATCCTGGCAAAGTGATCGCAAATTTGAGACAGTTTCCTGAAAACTTTCTAAATCAAGGTCCACAGCATTCAGCTTTTTCAGAAATAATTTAACAGCCATAACATCTTTTCCCAAATCTTTCCTGGTAATCTCTTGGTCTTTTTCACTCATCCATAATCTGGCTTCTTCAAGTTCGGCATAAAAAGTATGCATATCAAGTGTTTCTTTTAGCTTTTTATGGTGACTGTCTGCTGTAGATTTTAATTTTTGCCACAAGTTTAGCAGCTTGTTTGTCTCAGATGTTACTTCAATAGAAGCAAAATGCTTACTTCTTGTGAGTTTTTCTGATGAAGCCAAGACATCATTTATCATTTTTTCATGAGCATTAATCTCTGTCTTTAGCGCTTGATGTCTTTTGAATAGGGCCTGAGCTGTCTGGAGATTATCTACCTTTATGTCAGTTAATGTCTTTCTCAATTTATCATTAATCCAAGATGTTTCTTCTTCAATATCTGCTAGAAATTGAAAAAATACACAATGCTCGATTAGCTTGTTCTTTTTTGTTGTTAGTGGAACACTCAATGCTTCATAGCTTTCGATAATAATTTCAGTTCTGTTATGAATAGCATCTCCAAGAAAATGTCCTCTGTCTCGAAACTCTTTTGCTGTAACTTTTAAAGACTCCACCTTTTCAAAATGACTTAATACATCAGCTTGTAATATCTCATGTTTCTTAAGGAGCCAAGTAGACATCCTAAGATCTTCACCATAATCTTTTAAATTGAGCTTGATTTCTACATCTCTTAACCATTCCTCAACTTGATGGAGTTTCCTTTCAAACTTTAAAGCATCTGCAGCTTCTTTGATGCGCTTTCCTTTAGCAAGGGATACATCTGCCAGATCCTGCCATTCGCTTTCGAGTTCTTTCATTTGCTGTTCTATAGCTGTAGATGCAAAGTGATTATTGATACACATGGCTTCTGCATCGGCTACAATATCATCAATGCGAACTCGATTACTCTCAAGTTCTGCTTCAAATGCTTGATGATTCAGTAGCTTTTTCTGAAGATTGCTAAGATCCTTGTATGATTCATCTTGTGCAATGTGCATCTTTTCTGTAATCCATGACTTAACTTCATAAATGCTCCCCATGAGCTCTTGGAGCTGTCTTGACTGTTTCAGATTATCCCTTCTTCTATTTGATATTTTGAAAAGATTATCTCTCCTTCCAAGAACCATTTCTGTTCTTCTTTTGATTGTGGCACTTTCGTAATGATCAGACTTTATGAGATCTTCCGAAAATGTCTGCAATTCAATCATCTTATCCCTTTGGTTGTCAAGAGTTTTATCTATTCCATCGTGCTTCTTTATTAGGGTCTCTACAGTGCTGAGAGAGTCTCCTAGATCTTCATTATTAAGGAGTGCTTCTTTACTTGCAAGCCATGAGTCTGCTTGATTAATGTACTCATTGAACACCTGGAGGTCATAACTATTACCAAGCAAATGCTTTTTTTCCTCCCACTGGCTATACAGTCTTTGATGTTTGTCTGCTAACATGGCAAGTTTCTGCTGAATATCATCATTTCCATCAGAGCTGCTGAAAATTAATTCATTACCAAGATCGCATAATCTCTGAATAGAAACTTGGCGATCATCTATTTCAATTTTTTTCTCCTTGTGTACTTCACACATATGTTCTGCCTCTTGTACATCACCAGGTAGGTCATTTCTGCTCATTTCAGAACTGAAATCAGTCATCCACTGAATATTTTCATTGTATTCTTTTTTAAATTTAACTAGTTTGTATGAAAATTCAAGTTTGTCTTGGTACTCAACAGTCAATTCTTTCAGTTCAGTAAGATTTCTTTGTACTCTACTGAACTTCTCTAAAACATGTTCATCCAAGTGTTTCTGACCAGTGTTAACCTTCAGAACTTGGGTTTCCATATTCTGTACATTGTTTTCTAACAGTAGAACAGCTTGCATCATCTTCTCCTGTTTTCTTTGTAATGCTTGGATAACAGGTAAATCATCAAACAATTCTGCTGGTGTCATTGATATTTTTTTTTCTGATACCTGTTCATTGAGATCATCAATATCTCTGCAGAGCAAATGAAATTCTAGGGATTTTGAAAGCTTGGTGCGATAATCACTTAATGAGGATTGAAGCATATTCCACCTCATCATAATATTTACAGTCCTCCCTTCAACATTACTTTCTTCTAATTGCCCTTTTTTTACAAGCTTAGAGGCAAGATCATTTATCAGAGTTAATGTTGATTGGTCAACAGACATATCAGCACCAAAATCATCCAATCTTTTCTGAAGTTCTATACAGTGCTCATAGTCATAACCAACATCTCCAGTAGTAATCATTAGTTCTTTAGCCTTAATCCAATTTTCCACTTTTTCAACTTGCTGATTAAACACCAACAGATCTTTAACTTCTTCTAGATGCTTACTGCGTTTTGAAGACGTCTCTTTAACCTGTTTCCAAAGTGATCGAACTTCTTCTATATCCTTTTTTACTCGTGGGGCTTGCTTCATATTACATTTCATAAGTTTTGTACCAGTTTCACTGACTTGTGAGACAAGAGATTGGTTAGCTGTAATTTCTGCCTCCAATGCTTGATGCTTCTGCAAACGCTTAACCTTCTCTTCTAAAATCTTAACATTTTTAATAGAATCGTCCTTTAATATTTTTAATTTCTGTCCAAGCCATTCCTTTGCATCTTTGGTGTCTCTTTCAAATTCCTTTTGAAGCTTTGCTATTTCTAATTTCTTACTTCTATCGTTGCTAATTTCCTTTACTCTTTTTCTTTTTGCAATTACATCCTGTAGCTTGATTTGAATAACAGGTGCTTTAGAATGGTCATTGGTTAAAAGTTCATGTCCAAACCTTTCCAAAGAAAGTTTCTTTTCTTCTTGTGCTACAAGTAATTTTTCAAATGCATCATGTCTCTTTCTTTGAACATCCACATCTTCAACAGACATGCCAACAGTACTCTGTGTCAATAGTGTCTCTTGTTGTTTAGTTAATACCTCCAACTGATGGGCATCTCGAAGAAACACTTGTAAAGCATATGCTTTATCAAGCTCATCTTTTTTATGCTTCCACGTAATGTTTAATTGCTCTTGCATTTCATGAACTTGTTTCAACTTCTCTGCAATATCAGCTCTTGCAAAATGACCTTCAGTGAGGAGAATTTCTCCTGCTTCTGTTATTGTTGTGAAGCTATCTTCTCTTGTAACTATTTCTGTCTTAATTTCTGACAGTTGGTTTCTTTGAGCATCTAGAACAGTTATTTCGGTTCCTGCAATAATTGAAGACATCTCAAATTCTACTTCACCTGCCCAAGAATAAATATCTCTACATGAACTTAAAAATCTGTGATAGTCTAGGGAATTCTTCAACTCCTCCTTTCTAGTAGATATCGTAGTTTGTAAGCTGTTCCAATTGTCTATCATTACTTGTTCAATACCTGCTATTTGCTCTGCATTTGTACCAGGATAATTATGCTGAAGATGTGTGGCTTCATCCAATAGACTATGCAGTTTTGAATCTAAAGCAGCTAGATCACTCTCAAATGCATCATGTTTTCTTAATAATATTTGCACAGATTTAAGATCTTTTCCAAAATCATCAGGTATTGATTGAAATTTTTCTTGCATTCTGCTCATAACATCATCTGCCTCTTTATTAAATGTGTGAATCTCTTGTGCCGCATCAATGTTACCACACCTGATTACTAATTGATCTTGAAGGCTATTCCAATCTTCAGTGATGTTCAATTGCACCTCTTGAATGGCTTCTGTTTGAATATGATCATTGTCTGCCAACTGTTTAGCCAGAGCTTCACAACTTTTAACTTTCTTCTCTCCAGCATTAACTTCTTCCTTAACATTTTCAAACTTTGACTTAATGATCATTATTTCCTCCAAATCATTACCAAGTTCATCTGAACTTACAGTTTGAAGCATCCTTCCAATCCATTCTGTTAACTCATCACTCTCTCGAATATACTCATGAAGCATCATTGCTTTCTTTAATTCTGAATCTCGATGCTTAATCCGAATATTTAAATCTTCTATACATTCTTGTATCTCTTGCAGGCGTGCCAACACCTGTTCTAAATATGGACTTTCTGATTCTTCAATACGTAATGCTTGTCTCTCCAAATCAGTTACACGAACACTGTATGACTCCACATCCCTAGTTTGAGCATCATTTTTAGCAATAAACCTAAGAGTTGCATCTTCATTTTTACCATAATCATTATTCAGCAAAATGCTTGCTTTTTCTGTCGCCCACTCTTCAACCTCATCAGCATCTGCAAAAAACTTCTGAGCTCCATTTGCCAACATCAGCTGCAGTCTCCTATCACTAACATGGCTCAACAATGATTCCCAGGCTTTTTCAAGGTCACTGCATTTTTCTTCAATGGGTGCTTGTCCGTTTGGGTGCAAGTTTATCATAACCTTCCCTTTGTCAATAACTTTATTTATTAAGGATTGATGACTTACAAGTTCTGCCTCAAATTTGTCATGTTTTTTAAGTAACATTAGTGCTGCATGTTGATTGTTACCGTAATTAATAGATGATGCTTGTGGCATTTTTTCTACTATCCACTGGAGTTCATTGTCAACCTCATGCTGGAATTGTTTCACAGCAACAGATTCTTCCAGAGATTTTCGTCTTTTATTCGCAGGACCTTGAAGCTCAGAGAAGATACTAGTCAGCTCAGATGATTGCTTGCTGATCCTTTCTGCATCATAATGGCCATTTTGAACTAGTATTTTTGCTTTGCATTCCACATCCTTTACCTTTTCTGCATTGACTCTTATGTTGTTCTCCAAAATTTGATGGTAATTTAAGAGACACTTAGCGGATCTTAAATCTTGTCCAACATCCACTGACAACAACTTCTGTTCAATTTTTGCAATATTTGTAACAGCGTTTTCTATTGCTTCATTCAATTTCTTCTGTTGAATAGCTTGCCTAAACTTAATACCTCTCTCCTGGCACAAATCATTAAGCTCAGTCCACTTCTGGTTGATTGACAAAAGCTTTTCCCTTACCACATCACTTTTGAATTTTTCCTTTCTCAACAACCTATCTCCAAGTACAGAAAGACCATCAAGTCTCTCTTTGTTTGAGTGAAGTTCGGCCTCTAATGCTTCATGTTTCTTTAGCTTTGAATGGAGATTAATAAGGTCCTTGAATGTTTCATCATTGACTGTAGTCAACTTATCATCCATCCACATACAAATTTCATCAGCCTCTTGACAAAAAACAAGGTAATTCTTACATTCAATTATTTGCCTCTTCCGTTCCCTGGACCGATGTTTCACTAACTCTCTTCGTTTAAAAACCTTCCCTTTCCGTGTGAGTATAACTTCTTTGGCATCATGTCCATTTTCAATTAACTTTTCTGCCAAGGAAGTTAGGTTATTTAATCTTTCCCCTTGCACTGACGATGTTTGCTCAAAATCGATGTGGCGTTTCAAAAGACTTTCCATCCCATCAACTGAATCGCTGAAATCGTTGAATTCCAGAAAAGCTTCATGTCCACTTGTTGCAACATCAATCTGATCTGCTTCACGAATAAACAATGCAAGTTGCAGGCAACAATCTAACTGGTAGTTTCTCTTTTCCCATTTTTCCTGAATTGTTTTCTTCTCATCTTGTAACCTGGATATTTTGTGTTTGATTGTAACAGAATCTGGTAGGAGTTTCAATATGCTTGAGCCAAGTGTTATAATATCTTCTAATTTGTCATTACTAATTCTTATATTCTGTTCTAATTCTTTACTCTGATTCAGAAGCTCAACTGCCCTGTTGACATCTCTTGGTAATTCTGTATCCATCAGATGGTTTAAAAATTCTTGATGTGTTTGAAATTCCAATTTACAGCCTTGGTGGAAACGTTTTAAGTCCCTAGCCTGTTTGAACTGGTTCTTTCGCTCTTCAGCCTTATCATTCAGTGATTGCCAAAGTTTATCAATTTCTCTCTGTTTACTATCGATGTGTTCACTCTCATCTGGATAAGATGATTTCACAGCTGTAGCAAGCAATCCAATCTTTTTAAGATTCTGCTTCACAGGAACAAGTTCTCTTTCCAAATTTTCTTGTTTCCTCTGGAGACCTTCAACTGACAGGTCAGTACCAGGGTCCATTTCAGTTATTCCAGTAATCTTTTCAAGAATCCATTCCTTGGTTTCTCCTGCCGATTGGTTATAAATTTCTATCGTAGAAGCACCTTCAAGTTGCTTTTCTTTCTTCTCTTTTAATTGCAGTAACCCTCTCCAGCTTGAATTAATTTCACTCTGACGGCTCCTTACCTCTACCTGCTTACTATGTCCAGTTTGAACAAATTCATTAGCCATTTTATTTATACGCGAAACTCTTCCTTGTTTAGCAGAGATTTCAGTTAAAAGATTTTCAAATTTTCTTCGACTTGATTCAATGTTACCTGAGAGTGTCTCTTTCTGCTTAACTATTTGCGTTTTATCTTTTATCCACACTTCAAAATCATCACATTCTCTGTAGAAGTCAAACAGCTGGATTGCATCCTGCAAATACAGTTTCCTTGCCTTAGACAATTTTTGGAGCCTTTTATATGTTGCCATGATTCCCTGTTGCCTTGATTCTATGTTGTCCTTATCAAAGTGAATGGATTTCTGTCTTTTCAAACTTGGTTGACGTGTCAGTTTTGGTTTGGTCTTCAACTTCTTTGTAACTTCTTTTCTTATTTTAGTTTTCTTCACCTTTCTTATTTCTGTTACTTTAACTTTTTTGGGAACCTTTTTAGTAACTATTTTAGGCTCAATTTCTTTCACGTAATTTGCAGGTACAAAGCCTTCACTTCCTGTATTTTGTCTCACGTTCCACCAGTCCTTATTAGCTTTTTGAATCAGAATCAAAACTTCTCCTTTAATAACTTTCATTCCATGTCCTTCATATTTGAACATTGCCCTGACTTGTGGATAACGCTTTTCTTGTAGTACTTCTCTGATCTCTTCTTTTTCAATTTCTTGTTCTTCTTCAACTTCATATGGAATATCAACAGATTCTGTAATGTAATCTGGCTCATCTACAGATGTGTTGTTATTATTCATATTCATTTCAGAAGATTGGACATCAACATGTTCATATGACAAGCAACTATGTATAACATGTTTAGATTCCTCATCCAGCTTGTGTATGTCATCAGCATAGGCATTTATTTCTTCCTGAAGAATAATATGTTTCTGCAGCAAAGTTGTTGCTACTACAGCATCTTTTCCATAGTCATGACTGCAGACTAATGGCATCTTCTCTCTCATCCATGATTCGGCTTCATTTGCATCTGTATAGTATCGATGTGCCTCTGCTGATTCCTGAAGTCGAACTTTTCTTGCTTCAGAAAGTTGGTTCAGTAAGTTCCATTTTTCTTGAAGTTCTTGTATTCTGCTTTTAACCTTTGCACTTTTTGGATGTCCAGATGTAATAAGCTCAGTTCCAGTTAAGATAACACCCTCAATGATCGTTTGTCTAGCTGTAATTTCTGATTCTAAAGCAGAATGCTTCTTCTGCATACTCAAAGCTGCATTAAGGTCTCGTCCTGTAATTACTGATTTTGCAATTCTTTGTTTTTCTGCCATCCAAGACTCTTCTTCATCACTTTCTTGAAAAAACTGGAAAAAGTTGTGAGATGATTTCAATATTGATTGCCTTTTTTTACACAAAAGTGTAACTGATTGAAACATCAGATTTACATCCGCAACTTTTCGTTTTATATCCATACTTTCAGCATGACCTGTGGTTACATACTTATCAGCCTGCTGGTTAACAACCTCTAAACGTTTGCTTTGGGCAGCAAGGTGTACCTCAATCAGTGAGTGCTTTTGAAGAAGGTTTTCCACACCAAGTATGTGCTTACCACAATCTTTAGAATGGAGTCCTACCTCAGCTTCACTCAATTCACTTTTGATGTTTCCAACTTCTCTAAATAAGCTTATTAGTTCTTTCATGTTATTTAAAGTTTGCTGACGACTCTTAAGAAGCTTATGCAAATGTCTCCATTTCTCAGAAATGTCATCACCCCGTCTCTTAATATCATTCATGCTGTGATAGTTTCCATTAATAAGTTCAGTGGCCATCTTTTTCAAATCAGCAAACCGTTCTTCTCGTGCTGTCACATCTGCAACAATGGCTTCTTGACGTTTGGTTGCTGCTTCAATAGTTTGAATATCTATATTTGGATCCAACTTGTCACTCAGAACACTTATCATATCATCAATCCAAGATTCCCTTAACAAAGATTTTCGATGGAATTTTTCTGCCAGACGTTCCAACTTTTCTTGCCGGATTAACTCCTTCCTGAGGGCAAGTTCTCTACCATGCTCAGCTTTTTCCATTTCATCCCATACATATTCTATGTTTCTTAAGAGTTTGTCTTCTGGAGGAATATATGGTTTTCGATTGATTGCTCTAATTTTTGTATGCACACTAAACAGCGTGGCTTCAATGTTACTTCTCTCTACATATTTAGGAGGTTTTTCTGTAATTCGGAAGTCCTTAAAAGACAACATTTCCTTTTGAATACCATCTAGACTGTTAGAAAAGTGATGGTCTTTCAAGACTTCTGTTTTTTCTTGAATCCATTTAAGCAATTTGGATACAAGTTGCTCATACTCTTTCTGAAGGACTTCAATTTCAAGAAGTTGCTCAAGTATTTTGGCAATTCTTTTCCCACCAGTCTTCTCTGTTTTCATTTTAGCAAAATAATGGTAGTAGGAAGCTACATATGTCATGATAGATTTTTCATCAGGCTTATCAACATCAACATCCTCCGCATCTAAAAGGGATGTGACACCCAAATTTTTTTGTGCAACTGAAAATGCATTGTTCAGGTTTACGATGTTTGTGTTGTTCTTAAGACTGTCATAATCTATTAGTTCTGGTCTGTGTCGGTGGATAAGTGCATTAAAAGCAAGGCCATTTTTCCAACTGTGTGTAAAGTTTTCTACATTTACGCCAACATAACCTGCTGTCTTGCGTTGGCACCACAGTAAGAGAGCTTGTTTAGCAGACTTTGTTTCTCTACTCTCATCTTCTATCTGGATATCTTGTATTTGAAACCTTAAGATAATGGTCCAGATAAGCCCAAGAGTCAAGCGTGGATTACCATCCACAATATCTTCAGCTCCAATGCTTACAAGTCTGATTTTACTGGATAGGAACTTTAAACATCGATTTACATTTTCAATTTGTTGTACCCTTAGACGTCCAGCATTTGCTCGTCCAACTTTCTCCCCAGAAAGGATTTCCAAAAGCTTTATAAGTAGTTTACCATCCCGAAGATCAACAAACAAATCTTTAACTTCACCATTAACTTTTACCAAGAATGAGTTGATCCATTTTATGAATGTTTTCTTCTGTGTAGCTACCCACTCATCTCTCAAAGCCTCTATCCGCCCGACTTCAAAATTGGACTTGGTATTGGCCATTTTAGTTTTTTTTTATACCATCTCCATTGGTTGTGACATTAGGTTTCAATGGCAGATTGGATGCCTGACCTAACATTAAAAAAAAAAATAGACATATATAGTGATTAATAATAAATCATATTCAAATTTGACATATATTTCTGTAAAAAAAAAAGTAGTACAATTTGTTACACGAATATAACAGAGTGCTGCCTTCCAATGTGTAGAGTATCAAGTGGCCATCCATAGGAAGACCCCCGTTCATTTTGTCTGTGTTCTTTGGCAAGGCAATTTACCTACAGTTATCTCTCTCTGGTCAGGATTATACATGCAGGCTTGCCAAATTATGTATTTAATGACCACTGGGTAAAAATAACATAGCAATTGCTTTAGGAATGTATTAGGAGATAAATAAATAATAAACATTATTATAATAATATTATTATTAAAAATAAATATCTTGTAGTATTTATTGCTATACAAAAGTCACTGTATAGCTATACTATACTACCGCTTTTTCACCATATTATGGACTGTGTATTAAAAACATTCACATATGGACAACAAATTAAATGAATATACTGTAAAAAATTTTGAAATAATGGATTATGTAGGTCTATAATAATTTTAACTCTTGACTCAAAGTAAAATGCTTACTTGTACTGAAATCATTACTCTTCAAATGTCAGACGTGGCAGGATTTTAGTGATTAAAGGAACAGATTATCATTGCCATTCTGCAAAACAAGATATATCAACATTTTATATAAAATGGTACAAAAAAAAAAGACTATCATTCTGTAGCTATAGCTCAAATTTAGAGTTAATATTAATAATTAAAAAAAAATTTTTATCCAAGAATTCAAAAGCTTGCATGCAAGTGTGTGTGCAGTTATTGAGTTTAAAATACTGTATGCGGTGACAAATTTTGATATGGTTAGGACTACAGTAGTGGCTCCAGAAATTTGCCAACAGGGAGGTGGTCCGACAAGTCTGATAGGGGGGTCCTGAATTACAGGGCTGACTAGACCATCGGTCAGGTTCCCAGAATAAAATTTCCAAAGAATCGCTGCACCAGTCGCTACAGTGTTTTCACTGCAATCCTTGCACACTGTGTAGCTGTCCCTGACGCAATCATGAAAGCTCCTTGATTCAACTGACCAATCAGTGTCGCCACAGGAGTCGGCGATAGTGTGTAGAGATTTTTATGGAAACCAGACTTATATTGGCATCGCTCGATCATCAATAATGCTTGGTTTTGTCAACTCACTGGTTTTGTTAAAGGAAACAGATCAACTCGGGCCCCCAGTCAACTCGGGCCCCAGTCAACTCGGCCCTAAAGTGGACTCGGTACTAAGTGGGCTTGGCCCCAAGTCAACTCGGCCCCAAGTCAACTCAGTCCATAGCGGTCAACTTGGCCCCAAGCAGTCAACTCGACCCCCAATTTACTGTATATTTACAAAATACAGTAATTACCAAAAGAAATTTGAATGCCGAACTATGCCAAAATTAAAGTGTTTTAAATCGTTGTCTTTGTTTATTCAATCCAATTCAATTCAACTCATTTTATTCAGTTTATTATAAATAAATATAACAGAAATGTGCTTTGAAGCTAAGCGATCAAACAGTTAAAAACAAATTTGAAACTTTAAAATACTCCAAACAGAACAGTAAAAAACATTAAAAAGATATATTATAACACCATTAAAATACAGCGAAATGTATTAAGGGATTCTTTTTTCATTTACTTCAACATATTTATTTAAACTTTAATCATTGAGATTAGGCATATAGATAGAATACCCGATCGGCAGTGAAGGTCCTGATTTGCGAGAAGAAGAGCATGCGCACATACTCTTGGAAGCACTGCTTCCATGAACAGTATTAAATTGGCTATTCTGACGCCACCACACAGTTGTCACAATAGCAAATTTAAGTGTAAAGCCCCTCTCCCACCTAGGTTTATTTCACCTTGACTCGAGTCGTACGATTTCTACGAGTTAAAACTCGTGATCTTTGGAAAGGACCTATACGAGCTTACTACGTGTTAGCTACGAGTGAGGTACAACTTTATGGAGTTGGTTACGAGTTATGTACGAATTATGCCGAGCAGAGCACCGAATTAACTACGAGATAATTAGGAGCGTAACAAGCTTGTACCGAATTAGATACGAGCCAACTCGGTGCGCTCGTACTTACTCATACTCTTTTTTGGGTGCTCGCATCAAACTCGCAGATGACAAAACCGCCGACGAGTATCCAGAGTAGTGTACGAGCTAGGTAGGAGTACCCCGGGTACTCTACGAGCTACCTACGAGTTCTTCGAGTTTACTACGAGTTATCTACTCTTGGCGATAATTTTGAACATGTTCAAAATTAGCGCCAAGAGTTCAGAGCTGCTACGAGTAGGTAAGAGTCCTCTCCGAGCTTTCCGAATCGTCCTACGAGTTTTTGCCGAGTTTGCCGAGTTAGCAACTCGGCATTCTCTTGTAACTCGTATGCTGAAAAAACCCCTAGTGGGAGAGGGGCTTAAGTTTTGTAGGGTATGCTCTGACTTCCATTGACTCACTGAATACGTGATTACAGTAGTTGATATTGAAAACCAGCCATGCGGAAATTCTAAGCAAGCTGAGAGTACGATGCAATAGGCCCGAATGTGGCTTATCCTAGATGCCAAAGTAGGCCAAACATTGAAAAACTTTGCTTTTCCAATAAACTACAGCAATCCACTCGAAAAATTAAGGTTTATATTGAAGATTGTGGCTAAGAAATGCTAAATCAAATGCAGAAACTGTACTACTATATTTTCTTATTTGTTTTAGCCAGGGTATGCACTGCATACCTTGCTTGCCTTAATGGACTAGCCGCTGCTCAGCTCCACCATGGTTAAAAGAAATGGCTTCTCTGCCGGGAAATAGCACATGATACTGTACTTTAAAAAATGATGTCCTTCATTTTAACTAGGGGCTTTATTTTGATTGTAAAGTAATGAGGGCCGGCTTGACCTGTGTAATAGCTTAGTGTGGAGATGAAAATTTGGCCGACTAACTCTTAAAATGTTATAAAAAGATAACTATTTTATATTTATACCTCTAAACATATTCAAAAATCGTTCTTAATTACTAAAATTAAGGATTGTCAAAACAATTGAAATGTACATAGGCAAAACAAAAACCAGCCCATGGTGGATTTAAAAAAAAAAAATACAGTATAACATTATTAAAAAAGACAGTTTGATGCGAACATTAATCATATAGGTATCACTATACAGTATACAGTATTTATTGGGAAAAAGTGGTCCAGCCAAAGTTGGTGCAGTTCCAAAGGCCCTGCGTGTTCACCATAATGTGTAATGCTTTTACAGTACTTAAAAAGTCCATTTCTTGACATACGCAGCATATTTTATTAACAAATTGTCGGCGCATAAAAGGGATATTAAACAGAAAACCGACTATCGGTACACACCACATTGCATGCTTTGTTGTTGTCCCAATTTTCGGCAATGCGACAAAATATCGATATATGCTATGCAAGTGACTAGAACATGTCATGTATACTGTACTTCCAACTCTGTTATCAAAGTTCATACACTACTTAATGTTAGTTAGTAATAGTGTAACAAGTTTTTATTTATTATTCATTAAACAATAAACATCAATTTAGAGTCACCAGCACTCTCGCAATTTATTGATGGGTCACAACTAAATTTATACCTCTCGGTTTAAAAGGAAAAATTGTAGGCCTACTATTCAATATAAAATTATTTTCTGCAGTAAAGATTGAAAATGAATCCTTAACCAGATCCTTAGCCAGACCTTTCATACTGTAGGTGTGCATTAGACCTACAGCAGGTATTTATTTTTGCACGATATCGTACCTGTTTGCTACCAGCCGTCTGCACGTGGTCTGTTTACAATGTAAATTTGCACTGGTCTAGTCTATAAATACCTCACATATTCAAAGACTCTGGGTGCACAGCCATTAGTTGATTAGTTTAGTTGGATGAAATGTCTGGACTTCTTTCAAGTACAAATATGAACAGCAGCCATTAGGCCGACTTTAAAGAAGGCCTAGCCTATTTTGTGTGCATGTGTGGGGAAGGCAATCTACTGTAGACAGACTGAGGAAGGGTAGTAAAAATGAGATTTGAAGTTGTCAAAGTAATTAAAACATCATTCACTTTAAAGTGATGGAGATATTACACAAAATCCAAAAATATATATATACACATATATATTATATTAGATATTATTTACTATGGAAAACATTTTATGATTTTTCCATTTCCCGTTTGGAAGCTAACATGGCATTAAATCCTTTGCGTTTCTTGGCATTTGCCCAAATTTCAAAGGCTCTCTCATATTCAAAGTCTTCTATTTCTGGAGATTCTAAGTACAGCAGCATCAAATTGTGCATGTGCGAGACTGACAGCTTATTCCTGGAATCAGATTTGATGGCATTGTATCCCGATATTCCTCTTTCACAACTCACCGATGTTACTGGTAATGTCAGGCCTATTGCTGCCAGTTTGCTGAAATTGGGGTATGTTTCCCTATTTTCATTAATGAACCCTGACATCACCTCTGCCAGATCACACTGAGAAAATTTATCATCGATCGATTGTTTGTTCTTGCTCAGGTAATTGAAAAATTGGCATCAGAGCTGATATATATATATATATACTGGGTTCACGCTAACTGATCGCCAAGTCGCCATGGGCGAAAACAATTTTGAATTGGCAAAACAAAAAACTTTCAGGCCATCCTTGCATATCTTTTATTGTTATATGTACATATGCTAATATTTTACTGTGTAAAAATGAAAAATATATGCACAAATTATTGATATGAACCATTTAAATGGCATATTTCAACATTTCTTTGATGAATATTGAAAAAAATTATTTTGAACATCAAAATTCAGTGATTTAGCTTTCCATTGATATAACACATACATAACACTAGATTATTTATTTGGCCCTGTGGTAGCACTTAACATGGAATTGGCAATATATATATAAAAGCGCAGGGGGCGAGCTGAACTCGGAGCAATTGAGCGAAGCCTTCATAAATTCGCGGGGTGCGTTATTTGTGAGTGAAGCGAGCATATTTAAATGGCACTTTCTTTAAAAGTGGGGTCGACCGCACCCATTGCCTACCAGAGCTTTCGGACAACACTAGTCCTTCCTCAGTGGCGAGTGAGTGAGCAGGGGCGGATCCAGAAATGTCCAAAAGGGGGGGCCGGAAGGGGGCCGAAAGTTGGGCCGATTGACACAACACTGTTGCAGGGGGTCCGGGGCATGCCCCCGCGAAATTTGTGTGTTCTAGATGCCCGAACATAACATTTGAGGCATTCTGGGCTATCATTTTTTTTCTTTTTCTCTCTTTTTTTCCCCTTTTTTTCCCTTTTTTTTACCTCCCAAAAGGGGGAGCCGGGCCGGGCCGGCACCCCCCTAAATCCGCCCCTGGTGAGGGTTGAAAAAGCCAGATAGTATAAAGTGAGAATTTCATGCAAGCATGATTAGAAACAATAGGCTAGGCTAGGTGGAATTAAAATAAACAGCCTAAACAAGTAGGAAGGCCAAAACTAAACTTTAGAGGCATGCCTCAATGAATAAGCCAAATGATTTATCCAGAATAATTTGGAATGCCATAGGTTTAATTTAGTGTACTGGGAGAACGTTCCTAATATTGAGTCCAAATGGTGTGGTGGTTTTAAGTAAAAGTTCCCAGTGATTCTCTTTATCTTTACGATTTTTGTCGCTCCAATTGGCATTATGGTCAATTGCAATCACTCTGAAATTTGAAATTGAATGACCAGCTAAATTGAAATGTTCGGCTACTGGTTGATCAAGCTTAGATGTTCTGATAGCTGATCTGTGTTGTGTCATTCTCATATGGAGAGTGTTTTTTGTTTCTCCGACATATTGTTTACCACAAATATTACAATATATGAGAAAAAGGACATTTTTGGTGAGGCAATTAATTGATTGCCTTATCCGAAATATGTGGTTTGTTTGGTTGCTCTTGAATGATTGTGTAAAATCAACCAAGGAGCATGTTTTATATATATATATATATATATATATATACACATATTAAATTTTTACTGTACTTAATCATTGTACATTTTCATGTTTATAATTGGTTTTATGTAGGATTGGAAATAAGTTTTACTTCTTAAAGAAAACTTTCAGGCCATCCTTGCATATTTTTTATTGTTATAGTTGTTTGTCCTGCCTTGTGCAAATTTTAAAGTGTTGCCTTGGTTTATTGCCGTTATGATTTACTGCCATTTTTACTTATTGCCGTTTTGGTCCATTGCCATTCTGGTAAAAAAGTGTTGCCGTTTTGGTTTATTGCCGTTTTGGTAATTGCCATTTTGACTTATTGCCATTTTGGTTTATTGCCGTTTTGACTAGAACCGAGGCAACGATTTAAAACATTTTATTTCGCCATAGTTTGGCTTTGCATTTAAATTTCTTTTGGTAATTATTTAGTAAATACAGAGTAAATTGAGGCCAAGTTGACAACTTGGGGCTGAGTTGATTTGGGGCCGAGTTGATGGTTGATGTGGGGCCGAGTTCACTTGGGTATCGACTTGACTTGGTGCCGAGTTGACAATTGGCTGAGTTGACTTGGGGCTGAGGACTGGCTATGCCAGATTTTTGCTTTTATATTTTAAACATATCAAATCAACCACAGGGCCTGCTAGCTCAAATTTAATCAAATAAACATTATTTTCACAGGCCCGTATCCAGGGGGGGGGGGGGTGCGTTGGGTGCGTACGCACCCCCCCAAATCGAAAAACGTCCACTAATTATAACCAAAAAAAAATGTGACCTTGTTCCCAGAATCATTATAAAATGAATCACAACAGTACGGTATTAAGATTGTATGAATGTATAAATGAGTTACAATAAGAATACTAGAGCGCTGACTCCGCACGCGCAATCTTTTGTACTGCCAGCAACATAACACAACAAACATACACACGTTATATGCACGTTATATTTTTTGTGCCGATTTCAGGCTCAAAGTATTCATATTTTGTTCTTATTTTAACACACTTTTTAAACATACAACATTATTATTCTACAGCAGTGTATTACTGTACTGTATTATAGTACTGTACTGTATAGTGTACACCAACTGCAAAGGTACGGTAAAGTTTGTTGGTTTTTCTACTACTACTAAAAAATAAAAACCTCACTTGTGGCATTTTAACTTAGCCTTAATTTATTCTTATTTTGTTCTTAATTTTTCCGCGATTTCGACAGCCTCATTCTTCTTATAAAATATGCTCTTATAAAAAAATATAAGTGATGTTGCTTTTAAAACGTACAACGTTACTCGTATCATGATGATCCTTTTATACAGTATACCCCGTCAAGGGTTCAATGGATAGATACAGCGTATACATACAGTATAATTATGCTTATACCTCTGTATATGTTTTCTGTAGATGCCAAGAATAAAAATGTTGATTAATTTGTTTCAAATGCTTCTAGTTGTTTGAATCAGCTCATTTACAGTCGCTTTTAATCCACTCTTTATATCAAACTTTGCTATTATTCATTTAAAAGCAGAATTGATTTTGAATTTTTATTCGTAATGGTTACAAATTTATGCAGTAGTATTTTTCAATTGGGAAACAAATTGCTTGTTTCTCCATGTCCTCCACTGGTAATTTTTTGATAGACCCTACAGTATCGCTGTGTTCACGGACATATAGAGATTAACATGATAAAATGCCTTCAAATTAGTCTACTAGGACGTAAGAAAGCAGATTTTTCCAGGGCCTTTGGCCCCAGGACCCCGACTTGGGGCCCTGGGCATCCCCCTGGCCCCCAGCCTGGTTGCTCACTGCGCTCGCAAAATGCACCCCCTCCCCCCATTCAAAAAGCTGGATACGGGCCTGTTTTCATATATAAATGTTGGAGAATTAACTTACATGTTTTTACAATTATATACATATACATATCTTGCCACATTTACATATCATCATATACTTGTTCTTTATATATGGACCCACGTAAGGCCTACGTAAACTTCTACTACTATTACTAGGCCTACACTTTTTTTTTTAAAAAGAACACATTTTACAAGAACACTGAGAACACGTTATATTTTCATTGTGGATTTTTTGGGCTCAGTACGGACTCTAAACGTATGCATTTTCTTTTAGTTTTATGGCGTATGCGGGTCCGCAATGACGATATAACGTGTTTGAGGCTAAAATTGCTTAAAAAATAGAAAAATAAAAAACAAATAAAAAATAAAAAAAGAACAAATTGAGCCCGAGGTAAAACGACAAATGAGGTTTTTGAAAAACCAAAAAAATTATATCTGCACCTTATGTGCAGTAAAGTAGGTGTGACTATTTAATACCCCCTATAATCAGGTGTACTGTCATTTGGGCCATTTTTACCAGGCCTTTTTTCTGGGGCAATGTTTCCAGGGCATTTTTTCAGTGCCCATTTTTGCTGTAAAATAATAATTTTCTATGTTTGAAAAGTGTGTAAAATAAGAACAAATTAAAAACATTTTGAGCCTGAAATCGGCCAAAAAATAAGAACACTGAGCCTGGGCAAAATTTTACTGGTTCTTATAAAAAAAAAAAGTGTACTGTACTACTACCGCTGCAGGCAGGCAGGCAGGGTCTTCTTCTATTCCTATATAGTAAATAATACTACACTACATACATCTAGGCCTAGGCCTAGGGCCTGCAGGATTAATTGGGCCTATCACATTAATATTATGGATAAACCAGTAATGTTAACCTAAAATAATAATATTAAAATTAAAGACCGTTATTATCTGTAAATGTGTTTTTCCTTTAAAACAATGTTGACCATATCGCTTGACTACAGTACTGTACTTACTTGAGCGTCTTGTATCCAAGCTCGCTTCCTTGTTTTAATCACACACGCCATTCTTGTTTACGAAAAATGCCACACACTTCCGGTTAGAGAACAATACGTTTCGAAAGGTATTTTGGGTAGATTTACAGCTGGCAGTATTATATAATATTAGTAGCCTACATATCCGAATTCTTAAATACTGGTGCGTTGTTTTAGTGTGCGTATTTATTTGTCATTATTTTAATCATTTTTTTGTAGATTAAAAATGAAATACATTGCATTTGGTAAATTGAGATCCATAACCAACCGGAATGCGTGTAGGAAAATGAGGCTGAGTGTGATGGATGGATTAGGAGAGGCCAACCTGTATCTGTATGACTTGAATTGATTGGTTGGTTGTTTCGCGGTATCTCCTAGCGACATGACGCTTCGTTACTACACATGTTCGTCGTCGTATTCTCTTCGTCGTCGTTCGCTTCTTGTCACCTTACAGTATTCGTAGTTGATACAAACGTACGTACGGGTCTAAGGTAGTCGTACTACATATATCTGAAATATTTTACTTTCAGAACATGGCAGAACAGTATCACTTAAAGCTTGGTCCAAATGCATCATCGTCTATCGATCAATATTTAGAGTACAAACGGTGGGTAAATCAAATAAAAAAAAGACAAATATCCGATTCCTAGTCTAGGCCCTAGGCTACGTCCTATCTAGCCTAGGCCTAGGCTATAGCCTAGCCTAGGGCTAGGCCTAGGTAGGCTAGACCTAGGCCTAGCCTAATACTAAAAGGCCTAGGCCCAGTCCCATGCTAGCCTAGGTAGGCCTCACCAACCTGAGCCTAGGCCTAAGTATGTTATACAACAAGTACGAAGTAGGCTTAGTTTAGGCAGGCCTACATCACAAGGCTTAGTTAGGCCTACCTGATAGGCCAGCTAGTTATACTGTGCTGATCCAGTGACTAGCTAGAATAGTAAGCATTGCAATTGGCAATAGAGTATGTAGTATTTATCGCCTATATATATACTGTGATATAAAAGGTACCGAGTGGTGCTTACCTTTATCCAATGGGATATCTTCTTAAGGCGACAATACTCCAATAATATAAACCAACACAGCAGTAGTACCCACAGCGCAGGCAATTATACTCCTGTGTAGACTCGGACACCAGATACACATAAACAATCCTGTGATAGGGTTAATGATGCTCTCAGCATAAAGTCCAGTGTACGACTCCGAGTGAGTAATCTCACCAGGTACCCCTGGTCGGCTGTGCAGCACACCCGGCTGTGGGTTATGCAGATGAGCTGACCTTGAGGTCATGTCCTCCTGCGTAGATCGGGGATACGAACGTACGGGGGTCGTCACTACA